CTATTTCAAGTCAGCTAAGCATAAATAACACAAAATGTTTTAGCCTAAACCTGAGTGTGACTTTAAACACATTCAGGTCATTATTAGCCTCTTCTCTAAATAAATACCAGCTCATTTGTTCCTAATCGAGGTGAGCGATACTCTCTGTGGCCGGCATTAGTAACATCCTCTCAGGTAAAGAGCTTTTTGGACAAATGTTTAGTAGAATAATTAAAACGATATTGACCTAAGGGCACTTTATTCAACTCAAAAGAATTAGTCTGTTTGAAGAAGAAATATTTTCGTATTTCTAATTAGAAAAGCTGCTCATAATGGTCTAATTCTCTAAGGACACGCTTTCTCAAGCTTCTGAAGAACAAGCAGATTTGTTCCTTTGACATTTTTTGTAAAAAAGCATAATAAAACATCAAAACTTGTGAAAGTGTGTCCCCTGTTAAATTAGGAAACAGATAAGTACAATTTTTTTTTTTATGCGCAGCTCTGGCTTTCAGATAAATTAATTTGGATGTCAACGTGTGTTCATTTCAGAGCCAAGAGAATAAATAAAATGTAACTCATCATGAAAATATGTCTGGATTTTATTTGTGAGCTCAGTACATAGTGAGAATTTGCCATAACTGATATTTTTCAAGATTGATATAAATGATTTTTATTTTTTATTGCTAGATGTAAAAAATGCTCCATAATGAAAATTTATTATAAAGTAAATTGAAGGACTCAGCATTTTTCTGTTGATTCAGCACGGATTTGTAAAGTCATGTTGAAACATCAGCAGCATGAATGGTGGTCGGGGGAGTGTTCAACGACTTTTATCAGCATTTCGAGTTACCATGGTGATGTTAGTTACTAAACCCCGTGCCAAAAATCACCTCAAACACAATTTGACTGGAACGAAACCCCTAACCCTAACCCACATCAAACATCATACATCAAAAAAAAAGCTTGATTAGGGGAAGAGTGACATCACTTTTACTGGTGTTTCGAAGTTACCGTGGTGACACAATTTGCAAAATAAAAAGACCCATACAAACCTCAAACACTGACTTTAAATGGGTGATAAGACGCTGGACTTGAGCATATTACTAAAAGCAGTTTATTCAATATGTGTGGGATTAATTCTCTAATTTCCCTCTAGGATTAATCAAGTATCTTTGAATTTGAATTGAATTTGGATGCGACGAAATTTAGAATAGCATGAGGTAAAAGAATCTGCCTTAAATTTACTTCATCTGTATCTGGTAGGTTTCATTGTGCTCTTCTCTGGATCCTCTTCAGTTCATGTCATCGCGCAAGTGCTGCTGGGTGCTAACGCTAGACAAACAAACCTCATTTGCAAAAACACAGACAGAGCGCTTGGGCGTCCATAAAATCATCCCGACAGACACAAAATTCAAATGTTTATGCTCAAACAGTGACCCATGACTCACAATGCTCAAGTAACATTTTCTCTACATTCTTATTTTCAGTCTTAGGTTATTAGTTGTGTCACTGCTTTTTACAGTCCACTCACCTCTGGCCAAAACTTGCCTTTTTCGTCCGTGTTTGGATGCTCTTTGGCCGAGATGTTCAGCTGGACTTCTTCGTTTTCACCACTGCCTCCTGGGTAACTCCACATCTGAGAGCGTTGCAAGTATTGGCTTGTCATTATCAGATGTTGGACCTTTCCCACCAACAATATGTATGGAACAAATAAGCGCACACTCCTTGATCCTCTCTTCCACCTAAATACTCACCACCCCTTTGCTATTTCTGTCTTTAGCTGAGCCGTTTCCCTTTTCTAATGTTTAATATGATTGCGGACTTTACTCGGCCTGGAAAAATGGATAAGAAAGGTCCCCTTCAACATTCGATCTGGGTATCTAGAGTCAGATCAGCACCTCCCCAAAAGTGATGTTTAGTTCCTTTCTGTCTGAACATTTTTAGGGGACAAAAATACAACTTAGAGTTGTTTCATCCATAAGCACCCGTGCAAAATACACACTTGCTTGTTGAGGGCTACATTCCACAATGCCCTGAGACATTACGTCACATTCTATTTATAGCTACTGTAGGACACCCTGTAAATCCCAAATGGCTAAAAAAGAGACAATTCCAAAAGTCAAAGGTCAACACAAAGTAAATGTATATTCTTTATACCAAAATACAACATATTAATTCATTTTAAACAGCTTGAGAGGATGTCCCTGCAGGTTTGTCATGAGATCAAATAAATAAAATGCAAATAAAGAACTCTGTCTCAGACTCCACGGGCCTCAGTTTGTAGTTTAAAGGTCAAAGTTCATGAGACGAAAAAAAAAAAAGAATATTGAAATCATCTATCTGACAACACTCCTATTTCATTCGCAGTGCTGCAGTTTGGGTGCTGTCACAACCCCTTCTGCACCCCACAAACTGGGAAATTCTCTGACTGGCTAAGACTTCAAGCTACTGCAGCGTTTTTCTGTTAAAAATGCTGCTGCAGCTGACAGTCCCCTGCAAAGTTTCTTCAGAAACTTTTCTAGTTGTTTGTGTTACAGACTTGTGGGTCTCCTTAAGGCTGATCGGGGCATTTTACCTCTGCTGCAGCTGATGGATTGAGGTAATGTGGACCTATGAACCGTCTACAGGTGGTTCAGAATGCCGGTGCTCGGCTTCTGACCAAGTCCTCCAAACACACCCACATCACCCCACTTCTCCTCCAGCTTCACTGGCTGCCAGTCAACTTCAGGGTTCATTTCAAGATCCTGGTTCTGGTCTATAGGGCCTTACATGGACAAGCACCATCTTACATTGGTGATCTTCTTAGTGCCTACACCCCCAGCAGGTCCCTGAGGTCCAGTGATCAAAGCCTACTGGTTGTGCAGCACACCAGGCTAAAGACCAAAGGTGACAGATCATTTGCTGCTGTGGCCCTCAGACTCTGGAACTCTCTCTCCCTGAACCTGAGATCAGTGGACTCAGTGGTCTCCTTTAAAAACCAGTGGAAAACTCACCTGTTCAAGCTGGTTTTGGTATGACCGTCATCACCCTCTCATTGTTCTGCTTTCCCTACCTATTCCACCTTCCTCAGGATCCACTGATCTCCCTCTTTCCTATTCACTCTCTCTCTTTCTTTACATTTTTTATCACAATTGTCTATTTTTTGCTCATTTAAAATATATTTCTAATTATTTTCTAAATTATTTTTTATTGTAGCGTTATGAATATGCCATTTCTGCCCTTAACAGCTGCCCTTTGACACAGTGACAGTGTGCATAAGTTGCCAAGGTCGTGCGCTTGCTTGTGATGTTTACATTCCAGCAAAGAAGACAGAAGAAGGACGAAGAATGCTTTTCATTAGTTAATCAAAGAACTTTATTTCTAATAAAGCTAATCAAAACAACTGTTGGTCAATAATAATCAGGTGACCGATCTGTGAAATCACAATGTTATGATTTGTGTTTAATGAATAACAGGACTTTGGGCTAACTGAGCTAGACATCCTGATCCACATAAGGTAAACACATGACACATTGTTCACTCATCCAATCAGAACTTCCTTTCTGATGTGTGGCAGAGCTCTGTGGTGTTTAGTTAATCTGTCCACTCCGATTCGCTAAGAATCATAAACAACTGAGCTTAATAAAAGAGAACAACGCCATTTTAATTTAGTTCCATCGCAAGTTTCAACGTAGTTCCAACGTGAGTTCAACCAGCTCTCAAATCCATCTGATGTACATCATCGCTAAGTCAAGTACAGGCTGGCCAGTTGTATTTTCTACTTTTAAGCTGAGAACTGTCAAGCTGGAAAACTATGTGACGCTGAAATCTGCCGTTGTACCGGGAGACTTGCCATAGACTGGTTTGTTGTGCTGCCGACGCTGTTTCACCAGTTCCAGCACCAAGGAGGGTTGAGGACCTGGCATCCGGATCTAACACGGAGGTCTTCGCACGGTACGTAGATCGGCATAGATAGCATCTCATGTCTTCCTCCTGAAGTCCATCGTCGATCAGTTAGGGCAACAACAACTCGCACTCAGACTCGCTTTCACCAGATGGAGGTTCTGAACTGACACACACACACACCAACACTTCAGCTTACATCCATCTGCATCCATCATTAGAGAGTTAGTCCTGGCGACTGTTTCGAATAATTATAAAATAAATATTCTTAAACGTCCCATCTCTTTCTCTCTTCTTGTCTCTAATTCAATACAAGGTGTTTGAATAAAATCCCCTGTGGTAAAAACAACCTCTTCTGATTATAAGGGCCCGGTCCAAAGATTAATGATCCAGCTCAGGTTTGAATCAGTGATATCTCTGGACCTTAATAAAAGTGTAAGAATATACCAATTATATTCCGCTACATTATATTTTACTTTTTTTTGTGAAGCGCTTCGTGATTTTTATCTTGAGAGGCGCTATAGAAAAGATATTTTCTTCTTCTTCTTCTTCTTCTTCAGCTTGACTGATTTCTAACCTTTGTATGTACATTAAGTCAACTCATTCAAACCATATAATTTCTAATCTGATTTTCACCCACCAGAATGCTAATTTTTGTTTTTATATGTTTGTCTGGTTTTATTTTTTAATTCAATACATTATTAACCAGGTATCTTTTTCTTTTGTTACGGCCATTTTAGCCGGGTACAAACCAGCAATATGTATTATTTGTCAAACACAATATCCCTACGTATTGATGGTTGGAAATCATAGTTATTAAACATATTTGTCTTTATTTTTACCATTGTAATTTAATTACCCCAAAATCTTAAAAACAAATTTGACTTATCGATGAAAAATCGATTTGTTTGTGTGGTATGAACTATACATTAATTGGTTTTGTATTTTTAGACAAGTTAAGGGACTTCACTATTAATGTTTTACAAAACAGACTCACAAAGTAAAGAAAAAATACACAAAAGTCTCTGGTCGAGCACAGTCGAACCATAGACTGTACATATACATATACATATAGTCGAACACAGACCGTCCTGATCACGACAGCCAATCAGCTCCCAGTACGTAAATTTGTCGTTGCTTATTGGCTGAGCCGTGGAGGAAAAGGCTGGCTGGACAGCAAAGATGTCCGCGGTCGTTTGAAAACCTGTTGTGGCCAAATCATTATTTTGCCAGCTTTATCGACTCGTTTTGTCTGTACGCAGCGGTCACACCGTTGTGCTCAAAAAAGCCTTACAAAAAGAAAAGACGAGGACTCCGCGACAAGAGCCAGACTATTCCTTATTATCAGGCAAGCGAATAAATATGTCCCTGTATTGTTAATGCTAATGCTAGCTAACACGCTATCTAGCAATTAACAGTGGTTCTATATGAGGGATTAGCTATAGCATGCTAATGTTTGGTTACTTCCAGCTGTATAATAAAAAGAGAGCTTTGCTTAAGGCTGCTAAAATAACCTATCGAACCTATTATGAACAGACGCGTAGCTTCTGAAACTATCGTTGACTACAACGATCGTAACAATCTTTAATAGAGAAGTGATGACTTAATTCGTGCTATTCTGCAATTGACTGTACTTATAGAATCTTAATTAAGAATAAATAAAATTATAATACAGTATTTAAAGACATTAACTGTTGCCAGAGTTCTTATTTAAAATTTAACATGTTTTCAGGTCTGAATAGGAGAAAATGCTATTTTAACTGTTCTGTCTAAATTGTATTCATGTCTTCCACACATGATTCAGTCTGTCTATCTGCCTAGAGAGATAGATTTGTGTGTATGTCTTTCTAATTATTTATCTTTATTCTTATTTTGTCACAGAAATAATGCTGAAATCTGTAACTCATGTCGGAAGTCGTGTATGAAGAGACAGCCACGATGATTGCCGCAGGGGAATTGCAGTCGTTTGTCCCGTTTGGCCGCGAGCACTGCAGGAACCATCCAAATGCCTTCAACCTGCAGCTTCGAGAGCTCCAGCCAGCCTCTGAGCTCTGGTCATCTGATGGTGCTGCTGGCCTGGTAGGGTCTCTGCAGGAAGTCAGTCTGCAGGAGAGAGAGAGGGTGAGATTGCATGATCTTTGAGCGTTAATTTGAAATGTGCCATGTTTATTGTTTAGTAGTTCTTTGGTTCACACTAATGAATGGCGTTTAATTGAAGGAATGGTGGCAGCTAAGGAAGGGATGCACGGGAGTCAAAGAAGAGGAGGTCATGTTTGAAGAAGAGCTTTATGCGGCTGGAAACGTGGTTGTTTGGAGTCAAGGCAGCCGGACACAAGCCTCTAGTGTGTACAAGGCTTTCACTGTTGACAGTCCAGTGCAGCAGGTTGGCAAATATGAAAGCCAAATATCAATTTCTGTTTAGAAAATATAAATTTTAATTGTTAAATTCAAAGCTCAATGAAATCTCATGGTTTCTTTCCCGGTCTTGACACAATCTTGTTTTTTCTGAAGGCTTTATGGTGCAACTTTGCTGTTCTTCAAAACAACAATGACGGTACAGTAATATTTAAGACCGTTTGTTGTCGGCAAGTAAGAATTGCTGCAGCTCTACCATTCTATCTTTATTGAAATGACTACATGCTTTTAATTGTTGTCTTTTTGCAGAAGAAGTGGAGCAGACGATTTGTATTGTCCAGAGCAGCTGTATTAATGTTCACACTGTGACTGGGAAAGATTTTATCTCACCACTACCTTTCCAGGTGAGGAACAGAGATGCTGGTGTGTTGTTTTTATATCACAAGTCAAGATGGCTCAGAAAACTGATGCTGGCCTCTTTTTTGTTCCAGTTTGTTGGTTTTGTTTTTCTTATTTTATTTCCTGTCTGTCTCCTTTTCAACCTTCTAGGTCTCAAATGTCTGGGCGACAAAGTTTGGACTTTTGTTGGAACGGAAAATTTCAGCAAATGACACCCAGCTCAACCCCCCAGGGTATCTTAGCAGCACTAACAAGTTCTTGCATATGCATTCTCATGTCAAAGAACTTTGTTTAGGTTTCTCCCAACAGTGTCTGTATACATGTACTGATTAGTCACACGCCACAGACACTAATGCATGTGGACACGGTGTGTATTGCAGCTTCCTTACATCTTGTTTTACAGGGAACCCCTTCCCATGGTGTTCAGCATGCTGCACCCTCTAGACGAGATTGCACCACTTGTGTCCAAACCTTCAAGTAACACACACACACACACACACACACACACACACACACACACACACACACACACACACACACACACACACACACACACACACACACACACACACACGCGCGCGCGCGCATCACGTCTCATGCATTTTTGTGAGTGATGGTTGATAATACTTTTACATTCTTTTGTTAATGTTTTTTTAGGTCAGTTTGATAGCTCCACTGTGCATTATATGTCTGACTCCACCATGAAGATCGTGTTCACCTGCTGCCAGCCCTCTATACTTGTATCGTACGACACTGTACAAGGAACACACACTGTGTGGGCGCTGCGCAAAGTCACTCATGATGTAGGTGACCTCATATAAGCACAAAGAAACTCAGTCTTGTGTCTACTTAGCCCTGTTGTTGATTAGAGATTGACTGATATGGTTTTTTTCTGTTGTCGATGCCGATATTTAGCGGTCATGGTCAGCTGATGGCCGATATGTGCTGCTAATTGTTTTTCGGGCAGATTTTCACGGCCTATATCTAGATGTTTTCTGTCTTATTTGCATGCTAAAATGTCACAAATAACAGTAGATGCACAACATTTCTAAATCTAATCAGAGTTTGAACTCTGAATTTAACCAGCTGTTGAGTCTTAAGTGTGCTATTCAGTATTAAAATCAAACATTTAACCAAAGTTAAACAAACTTATACTTTTTGTTTTTATACTTTGTAAAAATGTTATGCCTTTATCTGCCTTTTCCTTTATGTACATTGCCTGAATCATGAAAATGAGAGAGAAACAATATTTTGGCTCACTTGTCTGTCCAGAACATAATGTGAACAGGCAACAAAAGACTAATTTAGTTTGATGTTCCTCTTATTTATAGGAGTGCTCGACAGTTTTAAGGTATCCGACAGAGCCCGTTGGGAAGCCACTGGGTCTCATGGCTTCAAATTTTCTGACCTCTCATTTACGTAACATCTCTCGTCTGGACTCTCCTGGTGGAAGTGGAACAGAGTTGAAAAGGTTGGCTGCTTTGTGCTTTGGAACGTTTGCTCTGGTTGGCATCAGTGTTTCCCCTACATAGGCTCAGGCCAAAAACATTTCTGCTGTGTCAGTTTGTCAACTTCCACCTTATTTAGTGTGATGGTGTGCCAGGACCTGAGGTTTTCCTAGCAGGCTGCTTTTATTTGGCACATTTTACATAACTCTTAAAATTGATATTTTCTCTACTTTCCTAATCTTTTTGTACTGAGTTTGATTTTAGTATTATTGTCTTCCTTGAAAATAAATATTTTAAATATCAAATCAAATCAATCAAAAATACTTTATTAATCCCAGAGGGAAATTGATTGCTGTAGTAGCTCAGAATAATAATAATAATCAAGTCATCAAAGAGTTGTTGTATATTACAATGGCTGTTGGCAGGAAGGATCTCCAGTAGCGGTCAGTGTTGCAGCGAAACTGAAGAAGCCTCTGACTGAAGACACTCTTCCGTTGTCGGACAGTCTTGTGAAGAGAATGCTCAGGGTTGTCCATAATTTTCTTGATTCTCTGGAGAATCCTTCTTTGCATTATCTCCTCCAGTGGTTCCGAAACTGCCGAAACTCTGGCTGAGTCCTTGAAATGGCTTGGAGTTCCTCCATCTTGTTGGCTAGTGATCTCACATTGCCCATTATGATCGATGGAAGAGATTGTTTGAATTTCCTCTTTCTCTGTCTCCGTGTTGCTCCCGCTCTGCACCCATGCTTCTTGCATTTTAACTCATTTGGGATTTGTGGCTTCAGTTGAGGTATTATTTCAGCCTTTCCAATGTTAATCAGCTGCTCCCGATTGTAAACAGCTCATTGCCATGGTTACGCATCATCACAAATGCTCACAAAGTGAAAAAAGCTAAGAAATAGCAGTAAAAATCCTCCAAGCTTCACAGCACCAGAAACAGAAAAGTAAAGTGTCCAAAAAATATAGTTTTTCTTGAGAAACTAGAAGAAAAAATGTCCAAGAAAAGGCAAAATTTACATATAGTCAACAGAGCTACTCCAATATGCAGCCGCCCAGAGCAGCGCAGTTCTGGAAATATAAACAATAATGAGACACTTTAAATCGAACTTCTAAGAGTCTGTACATCTAATTTCATGCTAATTAGCATTTGCTCAGTTACAATGTGTCAGAACAATCTCTGGTCCCACTGTTCTCTTCTATCCTTTGTGTCCTTCCTCTAGTTGTGCTCTGAGCTCTCCTAAGCACTACAACGTTCTACGAAGTAACCCGAACAGGGCCGTGACCTCTTCGCCTGGAGCGCACTCTCGAGTTCATTCCCCAAATATATCCAACATGGCTGCCCTAAGGTGAGTTTAACCTGGTCAGATGTTGACTCTGGATCATAACTGGTTAAAAATAACGTTTTTCCTATTTCTTCCATCCCAGCCGTGCCCACTCTCCAGGCATGGCAGCTCCGTCCTTTTCAGGCGCGTCTCGTTTCAACACGTCTTTCCACAGCCCATCCTCCAGGGGGCACCACGGTTTGTTGCCCTCTCCTAACAGCACCGTGAACGAGACGGTGCTCCCGCCAGAGATGGAGCCCATTGTACCCGACCTCTGCGTGGAGCAGCTGTGGACTGAGACAGTCGCTGCTGGCTGTCACAGGTAATAACCAGAACTGAGTCAGCTTGAAAACAGACATACAGACTTGATTCATTTACAGCAATGACAGTTATTAGAATTACTGATATTTCTGTTTTAATATAAATTCATCATTTTCTTCTAATTGATTGCTTTTATTCACTTTTCTGTTATGTTAGGTCATCAAGACTCTTAATGAAATGTATCCATGCCTCATCTTTTTATGTCAAATGACCTTTTGAGGACAAATTAGCTTAGGCAAGCAATTTGATTAACGCAAGTTTTTCTTAAGCTACTGTTCCATCTTTTCTTTTTCCTCTTGGGTCATTAAACTCATTATTTTTTTTTTAGCATTTTTTGATGATGATTAATGTGTCATTGTTGCACAAAAATGTAAAATATACCTAAACAAGTGGGAGAAAAAATATGCCGTTCTGATCTGTTTGCTTCTGCAGGGAGATGAGCAGTCAGGCATCAAAAGTGTTCATTACCTCTGACCTCTGTGAGAACCGGTATCTCTGTTTCCTGGTGGAGTCTCATCAGCAGCTGAGGTCAACAGATACATGCCACACACACACACACCGTCATTTTCATTTTGAAGCTCTGAGTCTGATATTTGAAACTAGAGCTGGTTTACTCAAGCTCTGATGTATATTCTTGGTTTGTTGGTGACTGTTTTGTGTAAAATTACACATGCAGCAGAGTCAGTCATTGATGCAATTTGTGTCATTCTAAATATTTCACATTTAATTACATTAGTCTTCACACCGTGACCCATCTGAGTGGCTCTATTTTCTTCTATCCACAGATGTGTGAAATTTATCGAGAGCAACGAATCGTCTCAGCTCATCTTCCCGTCTGTGACGACCATTTCTGCCAAAGATGCAGCACCTCTACAGGTAAGTTAACTACAGTATTGGTCTATCAATGGAAATGTCAATTAGAAGAACAATCGAGTGCTTCTGACAACAGATTTCTGCTCGACAGAATATAGACGCCATGTTGGTTCTGGAGGCGTGTGGCAGTCTGGTTCTTTACACAGGAATCACCAGGGTAGGTACAGCCCAGATATATGTATGTCGATGGTACAGCCTCGGGAGAAATCTCTGATGACTGTTTTCTACTTCAGACCATTTATTTATTTTTTTGCCATGGAGTGAAAGTCATGAATTTGTTTCCTTGTCTTCCTGCAGGTCAGTAAGGTGTTTGTTCCTGGTCTTTTGTCCCCCAGCTTCAGCCTTTCCAACCAGCGGCCCCAGATCAGTACTCCTGTGGAGAGTGTCAGCACACCTGCTAATGGTGTAAACAGGCACATCCAGAGACTCAATGAGGTACCAGCACAGGTCAAGACAGGAAGTTAATGAACGACAAATAGAAATCCATTTACTTTCCCAAGTTTTATTCTCTAACTTTTGCACACCCTTTTTTCAGGATTTTATGCCTTCACCAGTATCAGAGCCTAAGGGTCTAAACAACAAACACCATGAAGCATCATTTTTTGAAGATCACATTTTCCAACAAGCCACACCCTGCATACATGGTTTACGGGATCCTGTCTGCAACCGGGTTACTTTGGTGAGTTTGCTTTTGTAAAAATGAAAAAAATAAAATAAAAATAAAATAAAATAAAAAAAATAATAGACAGTCACTTAAAGTCTCTTTCTAGAGTATTTCTCTCATTCAATGGCACTATCTAGTGGCTGACAAGCATATCACACACATAAGTCTCTGGATCCATTTTTTTAAGATGGCAACTTCATGTTTCTGTTTATAAATGTGCCTCTGTAGCCGACAAACAGAGCTAAAACACGTTGTTTTACAAGTATTATTCTCATGTCATGTTGTGTTTTCATATATTCATATTTTAAAGACTTGTCTGTGGAAAAATACATCAACTCTACATCAGCAGGTATGCTGTAGTCTAACGCTATTGGTGAGTTTTGGTTGGTGCTCAGTTCCCTATTGCACGGAGCTCTGCTGGGCAGGGGGCGTGCTTGATAAGATAATGACTTTTACGGATTTCTGAAAAATCATACATAATTTCTGAAAGGGGAAAACTCTGAAAAGATACTTTAAGACAAGAAGTTATTTTTTGCTAGAGCTAATATTTTGGGTGTGTCAGAATCCCTGGGAAGGATGCTTGTAAGAGCGCATTTTGAGGTCGATGACGTCACAGCGCAGCAACGAGTACTGTCCGAATTCCTAGAATACTCATTCTCGCGTCCTCGCTACACCCACTTATATATATAAATTTCACTTTAGTTTCCTTACTTTGAACTAATATATGATGACCTGCTTTGCACATGTATTTTTTTTAATAAAAAGTTGAGTAAAACATAAATAATTACACCAATGTTTTTTTATTTCACTAAACGAACTAGAGGAGGCAGACACTAAGCTTTCATAAAGCAGGAGACATGGCAGAGACTAACCTGTTGCTGGTCTCATTTCATTTTGCTGCGTGACTTTATTTCCATGTTTATTCCTGCTCAGGGCTTTTATGGGGCACATTCTGTTAACCACCAAGTCTAAAATGCTCCCACGCTGTGCCTTTTTCTAACCGCTTCATTTGTGAGTAAATTTATTTGGTCATGTGACTAGCTCTTCTTCTGTGGTTATGGGTTAGGGTTAGTGAGCTGGCAGTCAACCAACCAGTTAACCAGGCAAAACTATTTTACCAGTTATAACATTAACAGGAATTAACCGATTAACTATGAACATCCCTTCTTTTAACCAAACATGGTCACAGAAACAAGAGATTTTGATTGGTTTGATTTTCTGACATTTTTTCTTTGGGCCCTTTATGTATCAATTATTTATGTTGAACCCTGCAGAGAATTTCAAAGCTCCAGATTTGGGCTGTCGAGTTGATTGGTTATTTTCTCATGAAGTTTTTTCTCTTTTAAAATACAGAATTTGCCCAACCCAGTTGGATATAACATGACCTTAATGTCACTAGAGATGTGGGTCTATTATCCACATATAGATTGGAGCCATGCCACCTTACTCTCGTCTCTTCCAAAAAGTCATTGTGGTAGAGTTGGCGATCCATTGGAAATGAGATTATCTTCATCCAAGTTTCTATAATGTGTGTGTGTGTGTGTGTGTGTGTGTGGGGGGGGGGGGGGGGGGTCTAAAGCCTTAAAGCAACAGTGATTTTTTTTTTTTAGAAAACATCCTAGAAATTGCGGTCACCATCAAAGTGGAGCGTTGTTTTCAACACGAGTCGAGAGCAATGCTAAAGCCCTAATAGAAACTCTGATCCAGAACTTTACTTCCTAATTCCAGTCTGTTGGGTATTAACTCCTCTCCTTTTGTAGATTTACAACAGTTTGGTGTTTTTGCTATATCAATTTATATTTAAATACATCTGGACTCTTTCTCTGCTGAAATATTTCATCACCAGACTTTTTTTGTTTTTAACAAAATCTGATTGAGCATGACTAATTTTCTATTTACCTGCTTTAGTTACAGTTTATAAAGCAGATGATTGAAATAGACACAATCTTTAATTTCACCACACTTCTGTGAAATTGGACTGCAAATCAAATCAAACTGTATTTATACAGCACAATTCATACAATAAATGCAACTCAAAGTGCTTTACAAATTAAAATGACCCCACATACCCACATTCCCTCCATCCCCATAAATATAAAAGCAGTATGACAATAATACCCCCATTACACTCATCGTCTTGACACACACACACACACACACACACACACACACACACACACACACACACACACACACACACACACACACACACACACACACACACACACACACACACACACACACACACACACACACACACACACAAGGTGTCATTTGTATTCTGGTGTTTGTTTAATTATCAACAGGAACTCGGCGGTGGTGCCATGCTGAGGATCTCTGTACCTGAAGTTGCTACGTCTGAGCTGGGTAAGAGAAACGCCATGATCATGTATGTTATACACAATAAAATGAAATTGCCATTTGAAACTCTGTGTTTTTGTTGGGTAGTGTAACTGTTAAAAGAATGCATACGTTTTTAATCGGACCATCTCAACTAGAGCCCTGCACGGGCCTAAAATCTGAGCCTGTGTCCGGCCCGGCCCGAGGGGATGGAGCCCCAGCCCGACCCGGCCCGAAAAGGTTTTCAGGATTCTCTGGCCTGACCCGAGCCCAAGCCCGACTTTTTTTTAACCAACTAAATGAAAAAAAAGTGCGTCAATCCTGACCAATGTGTTAAAAGACGTGCAGGATCCGATCAATTTGTTTCCCCCTCATTTACCGTCACGGAGATAACGGCGCACTGGCTCTGGTGTTAATCAAGTTAAATTTGATCTCTTTCCAACAATTTTCACAAGAAAACAAAACAGTCAAGAGCAGGGCTCGTGTTGTGTTGACCGGATAGTTCCCGTATTTGACGGTTAATTTTGACGGAGAAAGAATAGAAAAAATTGCCCCGACGCATGCAGACGAACTGACATCTTATTCATTATGCACATCGCAGATTTAGCTAAATCACCCAAGAAAAGATTCCCATCTGAACATCTGAGCTGGACATTGCTCAGCGCAGCTGAGCGCGTCGCAGAACCAGAGCGCATGCGGGAAGCTTCCTCCCACTGAAGCGAGTGTTTTCCAAACCCTGTCACTCAGAGAGACTTGTCACTTAGTAAATGTTCCCTGATTATGAAACTTTGGCTGAATAGTGCTTGTTCCTGTCTCCAATGTGGCGACACATCCAGGAGCCGTCTGAGGAGAATCCCAGAATCTCACATCCTTTTCAGCTCAGAAAGCACATATGATTAAGCATAAGCGTGACCCAACCCAGTCTCACAGTAAGACTGGGTTGGAACTGTTCAGGTTTACGCAGACAATCTTCACATAGAATTGACTTACAGATATAAAATTAATTCAGTAAAATATAAAGCATTTTATTTGAATATCCATTCATTATTTTACAAGCACAGAGAGCAGCATCAGATGGGATGGAAGAGCCGCGGGTTGCCGATCCCTGCTCTAGTTCAAGATATCATTAAAATTCCAAAAGTGCTGAAAAGATTAAAAATTGGGCTTTTCGTGCACATAAAATACATTACGGTAGCCACCGGGATTCCCTGTCTTGAGCGCAACGAATCACAACACAGATTCAGAGACGCACCGAGTTTGTCATCTAAAATGCTCTGTTTTATAACTTTTGAATGGCGGATCAGATTCAAATAATTCCAACAGTTCCTAAAAGTACATAAACGCAGCTTTCCAACGATCTATAGCATGAAGCAATCGGAGTTAAAGAAAATATCGCTACGAGGGGAAATCCTGCTGTACAGCCTGATTGAAACGGAGTGCAGCACTGCGGTGAAAGCGGATAACCTATAAAATGACATGTTGAGGACGCAAACTCAATACATCTCTTTTATTGTGAGGTAATAATTTCTCCGAGTTTTGCGGTTGTGGGCGGGAGTAGACATGTACGATGCAGGTGCGGGCGGGAGTGTAACACACACGTTGCGGTTGCAGGCGGTAATGGTCAGAAATTCAGCGGGAGCGGGCAGGAGCGGGATGAAGAAAGTCCCGCGCAGGGCTCTACTGCTGCGTTTAAGTGTTTCAATTTTTTTTAATGAATTCGATTAAAAATAAAGGCGCCCGGCCCGTGTCCGAGGTAATTGCACAGTCGTTGGCCCAAAGCCTGGCCCTCGGGCCGTCAGGCCGGGCCGACCTGAGGGCCTAGGGCTTCAGTGCAGGGCTCTAATCTCAACACATGCTGGTGGCTGAGTCATAACAGCTAGAACCTTTAAATTAGGTTTGAAAGCCATTGTGTGTTTAACCTTGACGTATAATCTTGATTTACTGAGGATGCCATTACAAGGCAGACACACACACACACACACACACACTTATAGTGATTATTCACTTACGTCAGTGTCCTCTGTAGCTCAGAACAGTCGGATGCATGTGTTCCCATTACTTTTTTCTTTTAACCTTTAGAATTAATTAGTTTAATGTGGAAAACATTGCATCATTTTTGGTTTTAGAAACATATGTAATTTATTTTTCTCTGTTCAAAACAATGAGAAAACAAAATATTGTTGCAGATATAATATTTCTATTGCATAATAATATCACAGCAAGAAGCTGAACAATGCCTGTATGAATCTGTCATGGTCAGCTGATGACCAATATGTGCCGCCAATTTTCATGGCCAATATCTCGTTTTCCATCTTATTTTTATGCTAAATGTCGCTAAAAACATCAGTTCATGCACAATTTCTGATGCTGAATCAGGTTTTGAAGTTTAACCAAATGTTAAATCCTATTTTTGTGCAATGCTGTGTTAAAATCAGACATCTAACTAAAGTTAAACAAATAAAAAAATTAACAAAGTATTAAATATTCAAAACTGCAACATAAAAAGAAGTTTTAGTTGAAAATAAGTTTTAGAGCATTTGTTATGCAGATGTTATTCAGGAAAATAAATATACATTTAAATAAAATTCTGCAGCAGTACCGGATTGCTTCACGATGTCCCTGACTTTAAATCAGGCGTACTAAGGAGCCATTCTTCCGGCTCTAGGAGGGTGCAGACGCTTTTTTCCTCCTCTCCTCCATATCTTATATCTTATCCTCAAGGCCTTTGTCTCTCTGTGTGTGCTGGGTGCACGGCTGCTTCTGCATTTTTTCTGGAAACTGAAATTCACTAAAATGGATCTCGTCAGTTGGTCTCTCAACGCGATTGATACAATTTTTTTCAACGATAAGAACGGGAGAAGGGGCTCCCGGATGCTCCTCTGCGACAGACCCAGTTGGACACATCATGGACTCCTGGAAACAGTGGAACTTGATTTGTTTATCTCAGCTGTCTGTGGAGGACTCAGAAGACGTGTGGATATTCATGGTGTTGGTGTCAGGTTTCCTGCTCATTGACCTTGGAGGCTACCTGGCTTACCGTAAAATTAACGAGCTGTCGAGGAATACTGACCTGATCCCGGAGCTCAGAGATGGTTTGCACCGTGCTGTGAATTCACAGACTTGCATAATTGTCGAGATGAATCGTAAGCTTGGAACTTTGGCCGAGATTCATTATTGGCACAAAAGATGGATGCCATCAAGGAGAGAGTGGACGAATCAGCACGGATTGGGTTAGATTAATGTCCATTATTGGGATTTTGGGAGGTTGAGGACCAACAAACTGTAAGACAGAGAGGAAATTATCTCTGTCTGGCCCCAAAACAATTTCTAATCGGAATCTGGCGTCATTGAGCCTGCAAGGCTCCAACGAAAACTCTCCCCTCAGAAGATATGTGGAATTTGCCGTCGCTATGGCAACTCAGCTCTGTCTCCTTTCCCAGCCCGGGCGGGACTGCGGGAAGGCCGCCAAAGCTCCAGGGTCACTGCAACCCTCCAACCCTCAATGCTCCCCCCCCTATCCACACTGAGGTGACATGCCCTACTTATCGTGGCTGCAGGAACTGAAGTGGGGATAGTCCCAACCCACCACCCCACCTAGTGGACACTTATGTTGTGTTGTCTGAAGTCTGTTGCATATCTGTCTGAGGTGTTTTTTTTTTTCGCAGAGCAAAGCTGCCCTCCCTGTGGAGGGTAGCTCTGAAGTGCCTTTTTTCCCCCTCCACCTGAACCAATCCTCATGTAACCCTCTTATCTCTATTAAGGTAGCGCGACTCAGGGTTGCGAATGACCACAGTCACCAATTCTGTGTCTTGCCCATGTATGTCTGATCTCTGAATTGTGTGTACTGAAACTCTAATTTCCCTCTGGGATTAATAAAGTATTTTTGATTTGATGTTGTTTCTGATACAAATATGCACT